CTCGTTGCTTGTAACGAGAGTCGTTCACAGACGCCATTTTAAGTTCACTACAGCTCCGCCATCGGTTGGAATAATTTGAAACTCCGTACACGAACGTGGGAAACATCAAATCTCAAGCATGTAAAAGTACACTTTTCTATCTTCATTATTGGCTGAGAAAAAAAATGTGGGGCATTATTTAATGAGCGACCCTCATATTTCAAACTTTATCCTTGTGTTGGATAATGTTGCCATTAGATGGCTATCTTGACAATATCCAGCTTTGGTTATGCTTCAAGATATAAATGTCACATTTCCTGAAATGCAAATGCTGAAGTTTTATTTCTCCAGCAATTCCCATCATCATCCTACCTTCTTCATGTGTCATATGATCTATCATTCCTTCCATCTTTTCCTCCACTTTGATCTGCATAGCCAACAGAACTGCTACTTTGATGCCGAGAAACCAAATACCACGAAACTCGTCCCACATGACGTATTTCCCAATTGCATCCGTTTGTCCTGAAGAGCAAATGGGAAAACGAGATTAGGAAATTGCAAACTGAAAATAAGTAAAATTAGCACAGGAAAATATAGAAATTAAAATAGAAAAGTTCAAAAATGTAAGATGGAGATGTGCAGATATGGTAAGGACTGTGGTATTCAGTGCTAAGTCTCACAGAAATATGTTAACTTTTACTTGAAATATATTAATTTCAAATGCTGAGGTGTTTTTTTCTAATATAAGAACTATAGCATCTTCCTACAGACTTGCACACTTCAGAATTTCTGCCTATCTTTGAGCTCAGCAATTAATCCAGACATGAGCCTATAATTGCTCTGCAAGAGGAACAATGCCATAGTACTAAAAGGGCACCCAAAACTTACATTCACAATTTGTTCTCATGGTAGTGAGTAGAAAGATGGCTGGTTTCTGGGTTGTAGTGATGTGCAATTTGTAGCCTGGTACAAGTTTACTAACATTTCAGAGGCCACTGCTGCCTCCATCATTAGGATGTTCTCTATTTGAACAGCTACATTTCTTCTTTTTAAGTCCATGCACCTCCAAATTATAACCCAGGTCCTGAAGTGAAATTAAAGCAATACAATAGGTTTGTTATATTTTTAGTACACGAGATCAAGTGGATGCATGAAAAAAAGGCAAATGCTCCTAATTACCATACAGTAAACTTGTTCCATGAGAATGGTCAAAAGGGATCAAAATTGTTTAAAATAGTTTTCTTCAAAGTAAAATATTATCGAACTAAACCCTTTGCAGTCCATCTTAAATACCACTACGGCTCTCTGCTAGTCCATTTAAATGCCACCAAGCTGTACACATTCAACTACTGTTTTGATTTTCTTTTTAACTTGCATAAAACAGAAGACACTTTAATAAATATGGTAAAAATATGTACTGAGAGGATCTCAGTTCCTCTTGTTTGAATAATGACCATGTGAAATATTTTTCATGGACTGTACTACTGTCGCTAGTAAAATGTTTAATAAGTGGTGCCTTTCTGCTTCCTGTCTTTCGGTAGAGAATGCAGTGAGTCCAAGTCGGTAGATATGATTTGGGCGATGTCTAAACATCTCTCATTGCATGCAGATATACGATGTATAAGCATTGGATTTCATATTCTCAGAGCTGTGCTTCCTTTCGCGCTGATTGTGTTCGAAAATTCAAGACAAAGATCAACACCAGGAAAGTGAAACAGAACGCGAAGTGTAAATGATAAAAGGCATTATTTAATGAGCGACCCTCATATTTCAAACTTTATCCTTGTGTTGGATAATGTTGCCATTAGATGGCTATCTTGACAATATCCAGCTTTGGTTATGCTTCAAGATATAAATGTCACATTTCCTGAAATGCAAATGCTGAAGTTTTATTTCTCCAGCAATTCCCATCATCATCCTACCTTCTTCATGTGTCATATGATCTATCATTCCTTCCATCTTTTCCTCCACTTTGATCTGCATAGCCAACAGAACTGCTACTTTGATGCCGAGAAACCAAATACCACGAAACTCGTCCCACATGACGTATTTCCCAATTGCATCCGTTTGTCCTGAAGAGCAAATGGGAAAACGAGATTAGGAAATTGCAAACTGAAAATAAGTAAAATTAGCACAGGAAAATATAGAAATTAAAATAGAAAAGTTCAAAAATGTAAGATGGAGATGTGCAGATATGGTAAGGACTGTGGTATTCAGTGCTAAGTCTCACAGAAATATGTTAACTTTTACTTGAAATATATTAATTTCAAATGCTGAGGTGTTTTTTTCTAATATAAGAACTATAGCATCTTCCTACAGACTTGCACACTTCAGAATTTCTGCCTATCTTTGAGCTCAGCAATTAATCCAGACATGAGCCTATAATTGCTCTGCAAGAGGAACAATGCCATAGTACTAAAAGGGCACCCAAAACTTACATTCACAATTTGTTCTCATGGTAGTGAGTAGAAAGATGGCTGGTTTCTGGGTTGTAGTGATGTGCAATTTGTAGCCTGGTACAAGTTTACTAACATTTCAGAGGCCACTGCTGCCTCCATCATTAGGATGTTCTCTATTTGAACAGCTACATTTCTTCTTTTTAAGTCCATGCACCTCCAAATTATAACCCAGGTCCTGAAGTGAAATTAAAGCAATACAATAGGTTTGTTATATTTTTAGTACACGAGATCAAGTGGATGCATGAAAAAAAGGCAAATGCTCCTAATTACCATACAGTAAACTTGTTCCATGAGAATGGTCAAAAGGGATCAAAATTGTTTAAAATAGTTTTCTTCAAAGTAAAATATTATCGAACTAAACCCTTTGCAGTCCATCTTAAATACCACTACGGCTCTCTGCTAGTCCATTTAAATGCCACCAAGCTGTACACATTCAACTACTGTTTTGATTTTCTTTTTAACTTGCATAAAACAGAAGACACTTTAATAAATATGGTAAAAATATGTACTGAGAGGATCTCAGTTCCTCTTGTTTGAATAATGACCATGTGAAATATTTTTCATGGACTGTACTACTGTCGCTAGTAAAATGTTTAATAAGTGGTGCCTTTCTGCTTCCTGTCTTTCGGTAGAGAATGCAGTGAGTCCAAGTCGGTAGATATGATTTGGGCGATGTCTAAACATCTCTCATTGCATGCAGATATACGATGTATAAGCATTGGATTTCATATTCTCAGAGCTGTGCTTCCTTTCGCGCTGATTGTGTTCGAAAATTCAAGACAAAGATCAACACCAGGAAAGTGAAACAGAACGCGAAGTGTAAATGATAAAATCACTACACACAAAGAATGCTTGATAAGACGAAATAATATGCACATCAGTGGTGGATTTCTCTATGCGTCAAAAATAATTAAACAAATATAATTTCCTCTTAGGAAGATGAGATATTTGTTTTATAACTTTATCAGATATAAAATACTTCTATTCTAAGTAAATATGACAGCTACACACCCGATGGTATTCCTTCACTATATGATGTATGGCAAAACAACTGATGTGGAGTCCTGGCTTCTTTGGACATGTGTCAGAATAAAATGACTTTTTTCTCCTGCCGCCATTCACTGTTATAAGGTACATAGTCTTACCAGGAAAACTAGGATAGAACTAGTGCAAAGAAGAAGGCTTGAGTGATATGCTGACACTGTTTGACTCCATACCACGTAAAGAATTCGTAAAATACGTGGTGGACTCAGTCCCACATCGGACCAGAACTCAGATATTTAAATGTCGGACTCAGTCCGACAGAGACTGCGAAGGGTTAAGTATTTGTCCAATACTTTGTTACTTCAGTTCCTTATTTCATGTGGGGCAGAGGCAAAACTCCGCACCCATGAAACCAACGTTTCTCCCAAGTACTGCCTCTGGGAACATGATGATGGAGATGTACAGGAGAAGTGTAGGTGATGCTCCATACAATCTAGTGGACACAATAAATACAAATTAACACAAACATCATTATAGTCCATTAGATATTAGCATTAAAAATGTATTTCGTTACACAGGTATAATCCTATACTGGCATCTTATCTCCACGGTTACAAATTTTGTCGTAGTTATACGCAAGTTAATTTAATAATGTATCGAGTTTGATCCAAAACAGCCTGCCGATACAGGTAACCTTAAACAAAAGCAATGTTCGTATTATAACTTTGTTTCTAAATTACTTATATTTCATTCTTTTTGAAATTTTATTAGAATACCCAAAGTACCAGAATGGCCACCATATTGAAATTCTAATTACGTATTTCCATCATCACTTAATATTTCTAGAGAAATTTTTTTCAACTTGCAATGCAATACCTAAAGTGCTGTTACTTATAAGTTACCCGTCCATACAAAATTACATGATAACGACGACTCACCTCGTGGTTGCAATGCCATATTGTCTAGTAAAAGTAAAACTGCGATTCAGCCAACCTAAACGACGTCACTGCCCTCTAACGGTAGTTTTGGCATTCAATTGTCGACGTCAGTAGTGCTGCACTGTGATTGGCTGGCTTGGTTTCCGGCTAATCGATTCCAAATGTATGAGAAAATTATGTTCCAGGACTATTTATCAACGTTCATACCTCCTCGGTACATATAATAACTGGATACTAGTCCACATTTTCAAAATGGAACACACAACAACAGATAGAAAAGACAGAAACTTCATTTCCTCAACTCACCACGAGAGATATTTAGCAATTTAGTCTTTTGATTGCCGAAGGCCTCCAAACTTCATCAATACAAAGGTTACAGCGGCCAATAATTTATCTAGATCTAATCTCTGAAGTCTTGGCCTGTGTGGGAGTACTCAGATGGCTCGTTAATTTTACCGAGTAGCCCAACCTTTGTACAGTTGAGTAAAATTTATTAAATTATTTTTGGGGCTAAAACAATGCCGTCCGCGATGCAACTCGAGAAAACATTTATGCTTGCTGAGTAATTGTAAATGAAAATCAGTTCTTGAGCAACAATGACTTGGCTTCACATGAGTGCGAGAATAAATGTTTACGCGCCACTAACCTGAAATCACATAATTCAATTATGACGTATGTAATTCTGAGTGAGAAAACACCTTTTAAATGTCAGAAAGTTTCAAAGAGAACACCTTTCCAATCTTGTAATCTCCTGAGAATGCATACGTAACTCTCTTTCCGAGGAGATTCTTCCCCATCCGTTCAACATTGTTTCACAATTTAAATATGCGGTTAGAAATTCTGTGATTGACCCTTTATTGATTTGTAACTTCACCTTTCTTCTGGATTTTGGAGTTAACTCTTGATACTAGCACAAAACGGTAAAATCCTTGATGGTTATTGGTCGACAGGACAACGAAATTACGTAGGGCAGTTCGTACATAGTCACGGCTCAGCGCCCAAGATGTCCTAATGAACTTGACAATCTGTCGTTAATGGTTTCACTAATTTTATTAAACACTTTAATGCCGAACTGCACACTGAGCCCAGAGTTAGGAATGCTATCCCATGGTCTCATTTGCCTTGTAATTCTTTTTAATTAGCAATGTTGAGCGTAGAGGTCATTTGGCTGACGGCCTCCAGTCGTGTGTACTTTGCGAACGATTTTTATTTCCTACGAACACGGAAATTCATACAGACGTATTCCAGGCATACACAAATAAATTGTTTGTGCAGAACGCAACGCTTGTAGGTGGCGGAACACATTTACGTAAATCGCTTAACTGTTTCTTCCGAGACAATCAATCGCTTGACTTCGCGGTTATTCTGGACCGTTGTCTGAGGTGGCCTTCGCAGGAAGTGCATATAATGACGAGTCGTGTCTGTACTGTTTCAGACAGAACTGGAGAGGAAAAAGATTCTCATGCCAAAGTTTCAAACATAACCGTCACAGATATTCAACAGAATTAACGAATATTTTATTAAATTACAAAGAATATATTATTTTCAGGTCCCAAGTCATATCATTACCTGGCAAGTGGTTACAGGCTGAAGGAAGCTTAATTCAAATGTTGGAGTCTTATGAATCAACCCACGGACTCCACGTATTGTTGAATTTCCTCGGGTCTGAACCGTTCACATCTACAGGCTTGTTCAGTTGATGAATCAAAGTAGCTTTATATTTAGACACCAAATCCAGCATCTCCTGCAGCACTTCCGGGTGTCTAAGAGCTAAATTATTCGTCTCACAAGGGTCCACAGCCACGTCAAAGAGGCAAGGGTTGGGGGTTGTCGACGGCTTACAAGGCGTTCGATCGGCTTGTAGTGCGCAGGTCACGGTAGATTCAGCCCTCATTAGCAGCATTTCTTCCTCGTCGGGGATGGCAGAGGGTAGGAGGCTAGCTATTGCTTCCCCGGCAACGCTGTGCGCCACAGCTGTTAGGTTGTAGGGTGGATTAGCGAAGTCTGTCCCGCTGTGGCCATAGTAATCATCTGCTTCACCACCATAGTTCGAACCTGGTAAACGAAGTTTTATCGCTAAAATGCAATTAATACAGATTTCAAAACGGGGTTCATAAGAAAGGCTTTGTTAAAACTACAGTATCTGCCTTCAGCCTTGATGATGGAGGCAGTACGTCCCTCCGAAACGTTGGCATACAGCGCAATTTTACTGATAATAAACGCGAAGAATATTAGCTGGAAGATTACTGAAACAAGGGAGGGAACTGAAGTGGAACCGGGCTCTTCGGAACCCTTCTTGTTTGCCAACATGTGAACTACGTCATACCATTTGTTATCTTCCAGTCTTCCCTCCTCGCCGCGTACAAGCCCTTCACCTCGTCGTACTGAAGAAGCACCTCAGTTCTCGGCGAAACCGTATCTTCCAGCAGGGCGCTCCACTGGTCCACTCCATCTAGAGGAACGCCTTGCAGAGTCCCCCCGGCTGCTGAGATGAGCGTGGGCAACCAGTCAGTGACGTGCATCAGCTGATCAGACACTCGGCGCCCCAAGACGGGGCTCCAGACCACGGCCGGGGTTCTAATGCCGCCCTCCCACTGCGTCGTCTTCAGCTGCGATTAGAAAGGATTTATGAATCGTTCTGTTTCGTTACAGTAACTGGGCTATATAAGGGAATAAAAGCTAAAGTTGTCCCTGTGTCTAAACCCACGCCATACAGGGTGTTCAAAGAATCTGTATGCGACACGCAGAAATACTTATTTTGTTGTCAAGGTTGGTAGCAGGGAAATATGTCTATTTACTGTTGACATGACGTTTTATGCAAAGCGGAGTTGTGTGAAAAGGAACACGAAAAGGGAATGAAAATCTTTTGTTTCTTACTGCATATAAGCGTTTCAAACACCCCGTATAAGCCTATAAGAGAAGCAGAGATAAAGCTGCAGGTAATCTTAATTTTTGCGAGGATTTAAAATCGCGGACAGCAGATGTACGTTTTTGTATGGAAAATAATTACCGCCAAAAAAAATGACAAATCAATCTAATAACAAGCAGGACATTTAGTTGCAAGGTAAATCAAAAATTATAGTGGAAAATCCAGGAGAAACAGGGAGCAATACAAAAGGTGAAAGCTGGAAAAGACGAAATAATAAAAGAGGGCAAGAAAGAGGGAGAGAGAACGAAGGAAGGAAGAAAGAAAAACAGACAAAGTAAATTGAAGGACGAATTAAATAGAAAAAGTCAGAAACAGACGAATGGCTTGAAAAGAAAGCAGATGGAGATTTCTATTTAAATCCACTACGCGGTACTGCCCTATAATTTCAGTGGGCGGTATAACATGAAGAATAATGGGGCCAATACGAGGCACACTCACCCCTCTCAGAGGGTAATTCGACCCCCAGTTCTGGTACCCGACCACATCCACCGACGGCGCTCCGTTGTCTGACGTGAAGACTATAATGGAATTCTCCAGCATCCCTTTGGTCCACAGCGCCCCCACAATTCTGCCCACTGACTCGTCGAGCTTCGAAACCATCGCTGAAAAACACCGAAGACGGAGGCTATGGGAATTTTTCGGACGTGCCGCGAAACTGCGTGTTCCCACCAGAAGTTACGAAAATTAAACTCTCATTTTTCATCATCTACAGTTTTTCACATGGTTGCTGCATTCTTATGTCGATGTACGATGTATATTTATGGCCATGTTCGGTTTCGTACGAACTTTTTGGTGAGGCAACTTTTGTGTTGCGCCGAACACTGGGTCCGAGGCACATTTCATCGAATTGTATCGTAAGTGCGTAATACACAAGACCCCAAAGTGAAAGAGAGAAATAAAGTGACTGACAGAAGAAGGAAGAAAGAGGGAAGGGAAGGAAAAGGTAAAAATAGAAAGAAAGAAATAAAAAAAGAAAAGAATAAAGATAGAAAAATTATAAAACATTCTGAAACATTAGTTCAGATTTCGACCAAGACGCACAGGAATATTCACAGCGAAAACTTTTAGACTGTTTCACAGCCGAAAGTTACAAAGTGTTCCTGTTAGCTTCGTCATGTCTGTCTGTCCGTCTTTCCGCGCGTGACAAGTTGAGAACAGCTAAACGACTTTTCTTTAAATTTGGTAATGGGCGAGTTTTCTTAAAATTCGTCCTCAAATTCAGTTTCTGTCGAAGACAGGACAGCAGCAAGATGAAGATCTACGTGCGGAAGTGATTGGAGGGGAATCCCTGTGAATTCCGGTACGAATTGCACTTTCCGAGCTTCCTTCATTTAGAAGTACCCGTGTTAAGCCGGGAACATGTTCATGTCGCTTGGAATTCCGTCATAAGCAGGTCTTATTTTACACCCACCGGCGTATGTCCTCCGGTTCGGTTCCACGATGTGGCTGAACATGTCAACGGATTCCTGGGGTGCCTCCAGCAACTTCCCTGCGTTGCCTGCGTGGCTCGCAAGGTGGGCCAAGTACAGGAACAGGGGGATGGAGGGGTTGTGCTCCCGGATAATCCGTGCCGCCTCTTCCGTGAATATGTCTGTGGCGTACCGGCCAGAGAGATCCCACGCGGCTGACGAGTTCCGGCGGAAATCCAGACCCTCCATTACGACGCCAGAAGCCTAGAGAAAATAACCTGATCACTTCGTTTATCTCTTTAAAGTGACGACGACATCTTCAAGAGCTGTTTCTCATGGCTTACATTTTAATATTCGCATCCCGACCACGTTTTAAAGTGTGTAACAGAACGTTGCTGATCAAGAACGCTGCTTCCGACGGGATGGACCAATTTCCTGTTCACAATCACATCCGCAAAATTCCGTGTTGAAACCTACTTCGAATTATGATTATTTTTCAGTCTCGTTAACATAAGTACTGCATATTAGAAAATGGGGGGGGGGGGATTTTACTCACACTTTCTTGGTTGATGTGATCATAGTAGCTTGTAAATCCGTTTAAATACCCGAGAAAGGAGTCGAACCCACGATGTGTGGGCGTGAACTCCTTCTTGTAGTAACCAAGGTGCCACTTTCCGACTATCCGAGTCGTGTAGCCCAGGTCTTTGAAGTACTGAGGCAGGATTTTGCCCCGAGGCAGAGCCCGGGGTTCGCCTGCACTCAACGGCGAGCCCTGCATCCCTGGAACAGAAGCGTCTTCCTGGAGACGACAAGTTAAAAAATCCTGACCTGACAGCTAGGCGACGATAACAGGCTTTATAGTACAAAACCATCTTTGCCAATCGCTAATTCATTGCTTCGCCACCGTTTAATGCATGAAGCGATTACTATTCTGCGCTAAATAATTGAAATCTGTGTGACGTCATATCCGTTCGTTCCTAAGAACTGTTTATTTTGTGAAAAGAAAACGAGTCATGTCGAAGGGAAATATTTGGACCTTTTCATAAAGCCAATTAGTTCACTACAGTTTATTCACCACGAGACGAGACCCTGGGGCGAATTCGTTCAATTTAAACCGAATATCACAGGGCAGGTTTGCACTGTATACCAATATTGGACGGATATCTGCCGGTCATCAGCGCGGATCTGGTTGGGGTGCAGATGGGCTGCGTGTAGTGCTGGTTCAGGATGACGCCGCTGTAAGCCAGTGCGTCGATGTTTGGCGTCTGGATCTCGTCTGAACCGTGGAAACTAAAGTCGTTCCAGCCCTGGACAGGGAATTTAAAGTTGAAAGCGAGATCACGTCGTCCAGGAAGTACGAAAAAAAGGAAGAGAGCGATAAGAAATGAGAAAAGGAAATGAAGAAATGGAGAAACAGGCAAATAAACACACAGAAAGAGAGAGAGAGAGAGAGAATAGAAGTAAATATTCTACATTGACATCTTCCGAGGCACTGGTGAATTTTACAATTAAATACGAGTCTGGATCGTACTTTGAAATTCGTATGATTCTGAAACACTCTACTAAACGTCAGTTATCCAACGCAAATATTTCAGATAGATCCGTGAAAACGAAGCCACGGTCATTTACTAATGAAAGCAGAACTCACCATATCGTCAGCGAGAATGAAAATGATGTGTGGTCTGGCAGCGTTGACAACCGGCAACACGAAAACAACCCTTAAAATAGTCATGAACACATTCTTGCCCATCTGCGAATCAGAAATGAGAAATGAAGCAAATATTGAGTTCACGAGCTGTAGGCTACAACTCCTGCCTGTCAACCAGATACTGGGGAGTATTCCAACAATTTCAACTGGGTCATTTTCGCTACACGAGTAAACAGTCCAATTGAATCACGTGTCTTCACACTGATAAGAGAATATTTTCTGCGTGCGTGATGCAGATATCAGAAATAATTATCTGCTCTTAATTAAATTATGATATACGTACTATTGGCGCAAAGTCATGATGAAGAGAATGTACATTTATTTCCGCTAATGCAAAATATATTAGGACCTATATACTCCTTTAATTTTGCGCGTCGAATATCTTGAGATACCTACGTATAAAATGTCCCTTACCATTACTGATAATAATAAGAATGAAAATGTGTTCTAGTTTGGACACTCATTTTTTAGACTCGCATGTGACCTCGCATACCTAGACTAACTGGCCTTGGTGTCACTGAAACACAAACCCACAGCCACAAGGCCAATCTCACTACAAACAACTCACACGCACAAGAAATTAACTTCCTTTGTATTTCGTTAAATATATATCACATATAAAATGTTTCAAATAAAAGTTGTAGATCTCAATGAGATATCTAATACGGCGAGCCTTTCTTGAGAAAATCAACGATATATGTTCTCAACAACTTTTAGCATAAATCTCAGATTATCAAACTTAATAAAAATCCTGTTTAGGAAATGAAATATGCAACAACAGGACGACAAATTTACAATGTTGTTTTTCTAACTTTTATTTCCCCTTCAGTTTTCAGAGCATGACGAGCATAAAACAAGATTTGGGATTTAAGGTCAAGGAAATGCGTATCATATGAATTTTATTACATCCGATTATAGAATACGATAGTTTCAACAAGATGAATCCTCTCTGATAACAGTGACTGTTTACGTAACCACGAAACTGGGAAATTATCTTGAACCAGTTACTACAACCATAACCTATTTTAATGATACCACATTTAAAAACACACGACGAGTGCCACCACCATATTTAGACATCACATTCCTAGTGCAAATATTTCGAGGAAAAAAACGAGAAATTCATTGACCTGTCATTTTAAATGAATCATTCTTCTTGTAATAAATATGTCAGAAAATGTTTTCTTTCAATTTATTTTTATTCCATTAAGTAAGTCATCCAAAAATTAATTACTCGTTTTTTTATTCCTGCTATTTATATAGAACACTTCCATAAGTTCGCCATCATGTTGGATCGGAACAAGGCTCCCTTGTATCCGGATACTAGTAATGTGGAGGACGTATGTGCGTAAAAGTAATTTCATTTTGAACATCAAATTTTTCATAGCCGCAGTCCAGCAACCGGAAGTTGCATTACATAAGCTGGAGATTTTATTGATTAGCCACCAAAAGTTTAACAGTTCATGAGAACGTCATTAGAGTGCAGTACTGAACAGTCCATGGTTACTACAATAGCTGCTGCTCGTCTAGCTTCTACCATCAGAGTACAGCACTATGCAATCCACGGTTACTACATTAATACTCTACATTGGTGCATTCTAGTACGGTTTAAACCTCCTCCACTGTCCTAATACCTGGATACAAAATCGCCATTTTCTGTATTGTCACACGGCGCAACAGCCCAGAAGATAGCCAGCCATCTTATATTTAGAAGAAATACATACACACACGTACGTTCTGCATGTGTATGTATTTCGTTTTTGTCACAGACCGTTACTACTTCGTGGTGTCTTGATTTTGTGGGAAAGAATGTAGAATCACTATTAAACCGGAGACACACAACTAACTAAAAACGTTTTCCTTCACATTTTTCTCGGGGAACTAAGCTATGATGTGTGGCGTGTATATGCGTTTATGCAGAGACTGAATAATAAGAAATGCAGCTTATCGAATCACTCTGACTAGGAATGTTGTGTTTCTCGTGCCATTTTTACTTGGAATGCGGTGTCCGTGTTTTTATTTAGGCACTCATGCTAGAAATGCTGTATCTATGTACTTCAATACTCACGAGGGACGCAGTACAATTTATGTATTTCCTGAGGTAAAACTGCCAGTGTAGACCCCCCGTATATAGATTTATCTGATTCAAAAGGCTCGGAAAATGACATATGGTACGGGTAAGACATCCCTCAATTAGTGAATTTGATTAAGTCTATGCAAACATCGCATGCAGATGGAAACTTGTGAAAAGGGCATTCAGAACACGCTGGAAGAAAGAAAGAAAGTAGAGAGATCTCTTTGAAACACTTCTGCGCCATTTGGGAGAAGAAAACCACGACCAAGCAAGCAATAAAAGAACATTAGTTACCTTCAACTTCCCTTCGCACAGCATCCGTAGATAATCACTACAGCGTGGTAGCCTATAAAATCGCACAGCTCCACGTCTGCTCTAAAAAAAAGAGCGTTATCTGCTGATCTGACACACTCAACAGCTGATTTGTTAGACACGCCCCCAGAACTAACAGTATCAAGGAAAAACGCTGTCTGCGAGGCCAGAAAGTATTGGGACCGCTTATGTTGCAACCTGCGAGGGTGATCAATGCTGCTTTGCTTCGAAACCTTGGCGCCTCCCTTCTCGGCATCAAAACCAAAAAGAACAAGTTACAGCCTTCTACCCTAGTGCACACCCACACACAACAACTTGCAAAAATATTGTTTCACGAACCGTATACATTGATCTTTGGTGATTTGGAAAATGGTAGATATGAAGGAGGTTCTTAAATAAAGAAACCTTGAACCTACTGTTTACTGAATAAAACCAGGAACCTCGTTTCTAATGCTACTGAAGAAGGCAGAGTATAATTCTAATAAAGTGCACGCAAACCATGTTTGGTGGGTTTCTGTCACCACGGCAAGGAGCGTCCTCAGGTTGCGGATGGAGGAACAGCCTCCACTTATCCAGGTTAGCTGCGAATATATCGAATAAGCAGTCGCGGACAGCCGACGAGGGGTGGCCCTCCAGCTTGGGTAAGAAACTGTCTTGTTACGAAAAATTATACCAAGCCTCGGAAACGGACGGACGGACTCTTTGGCACGACCAAGGCGAACAGATGTAAGTGGAAAATGGGTTAGACAATTCTGCTTTCACGTCTAATAACCAAAATAGAATCACTGTGCTACATAATCTACCGAGTGTATTAATAAGTGAATTTTAATATTTGGGACATCTAACTAGCGCATATGGCGGTACATGATTGAAAAAGTCAAACATTCAAATGTTGGCAGCCACCTACTACATTACACGCCGTCACTGCCTAGAATACCATAACCTCATCACAGTGAGTACCACACATTTCGGACATCTTGCCTAATCTCTGTTCAGAGGCGACGCCTAATTTTTATTTTATCCCTGAATATAGAGGCGACATTAACATCCGAAACCATCCACAAGACTCCCGCTACGACATAACCCACTCAAAAGAAAATCAGTATTACCTTGCGTCATCAGTGTCCGGATGGAGTGCAGTGCATCTCACGCTCTTTGCCAGGCCACACTGACACATGCAGTTTACAGTGAAGCCACATTCTGCAAGGAGTGATACAATTACGCGGATGACCCATGAAAGCAAAATATAGGAAGCCCTGACCATCAGCTGCCATGCAAAATTAGGGGCTGGGTTGGGAGATACAGATACGGACAGAATTATGTAACTGTTAGCAATGTAAATTGTTCTACGTTATAAATCAAAGGTTAGTCTACCCAGTGCATCATAACCTCAGTTTCATAAATATTTCTGCTAAGAATATATGGTTTTCCTGAAAGAAATGAGTTATTTGTTAGGGAACTTGTTACCAGACTTAAAAGGAGGCGAGAAATTTGAAAGCATTTTCCAACAGAAAACGACAATGACTGTACTCTGCTTTACATACATGCCACTTGGTTACAACAGACAAACAATTTGATTTAACGGTGGGTGTTAACACAGAAAAGGGACCATCAGGCTCTAACCACCACGCAGTTACGATAATGATTATTTAACGCTGCACAACGAACGAAACCACAGTTTACAAAACATTTGCAGTTGTCACATTTAGTCCATTGTACGCCCGGCACTGGGCAACAAAATTCTACTTCATAAGGTTCTCATGACGAAGATGACCGACGTTTCAGAGGCGCTTACTGTCTCCATTATCATGACAGCTCTGAAATGTGGGGAAACTATCAGATTACACGGCGCAACGTACTATTTAATTTCAGCTTCTCAATAACAAAGTTCTCCCCTTGACAGATCTATTGTTGCTTAAAATGGCTTTCACAAATTACATCACACGTAAGATTACATGAGCGATTGTTTCGAATGTGGCCTAGCAACGAGACCGTCATTAACTCCAACCCTGATGAACAGTTGTGTACACAAATGTGGCCCAGCACTATTTGCTGAACAGCTGCATACGTTCTTTATAAAAGTTATATTCCTCTAACACAATAACTACACAGTGGTAAAAAAGATGTTGGACGCAGAGAGTGACTTTTTTACCTTCCTGTACAAGAATTCCGGTTAAACTAAAAAGATTATAAAAATTACTACGCTGCATAGGTAACGTATTTCCTCGTTTCAAAAAATTAAATGCCACGTGCGTTCGACGTTTCGACGAATGGGTGAGACATGTAGCACGCATGGTGACTTATTAATGTATACAAAAGTTTGGTTGAAACACATCAAGAGAAGTGGCCACTTGGAAGGGAGCATAATATTAAAATGAATCTGATAGAAATGAGGTGTGAAAGCGTGGATGAGATTCGAGTGTCTTAGGATAGAGTCCAGCGGAGTTTTCGGAAAATAAAGGTTCCATAAATATAGACAGATCGGTTGTGCATTCGCGGAAGACCTTACACTGTGAAGTTAATTATTTAATTTACAAACCATGTCAGTGTACAAACTTACAATGTTGCATGAAATGTATTTTTTTTAACAGGTATGTGCATTTGTTTGTACACTTTCTATGAATAGGTTTATATTCTGATTACATACAATATTTTGCAATAATGTCAAAATTATACATTGCAATTGTTGCGTACCTTCATAACACAGACCTACGTAGTTTTACTACATTGTCTGATCGGTTCTGCTGTGTTCCAGTGCTATGGAGTGCCACTGAACCACCGAAGTAAGACAGAAAACTTTTTTAATTTTACGTTTTCGAAATGTTAGCACGGCTAACACGGCTAACGCTGTTTTCATGAACTCCCCGTCCCTGATTAGATCTTTCGTAATATTGTCTGCACACATATGCATACTTGAAAGAACACGGCATTTAGAATTTGTCAGTCGATAATTAAAATCACAAAAATGTGTATTCAAGTACAACAATGTACCGGCAACGAATGAAAATATAACAATTTGTTAAACTTTGAGAGATAGCAAGTGAATATCACGGGAAAGTAAAATATAAAGGTAAATACGTATGTCCCTGCGTTAAAAAATGGGTCCTGAGGGCGTATAGAGTCGTGCAGGTACATTTCCGCAAGTTCTAAAGCTCGTCACTAGATGGAGGATATCAATTTCACGTTCAAAATTATTTGGGTTCACGTAATCGAAGTTTTGACCTGACCATCTATATATTTGAAACAAAAGGTCAAAAATATGCTTAATTAGAATCACTAGACACAACAGTAACACCCAGATGTTAAATTAATGCCTTAGTTACATCGCCGAGAGACAATTCACGTTTTCCTTTGCTGTGAGACTAAAAATGAAAATATCTGATCCACGGTGTCCCCGGTGTGTTTTACTGTTTCTTCCAAAAGTGAGAACTTTCGTTCCAGTTGAAGTATCTGGTTGGACTGTTTCAGCATTTCCTCCTGCACGATGTTCTGACTCCCACACAGAAGTCCGCGCGCATATGCCCTTTCGTCAGCGAGTTCCTTCCCAATCTTTTCCTGACTAGCACTTAGCAAGTCGAACTTCACTCCGACCTCGCTGACGACTCCAGCCACAGCAATATTAAATTCCTTTTCCACTCGGGCCATCTTATAATCGTACAATTCCTTCAGTTCTCTTACTTTGGCTGTCAACATTTCTTGCTGTTCATACAGATCCTTCATTCTCTTCGAAACCAGAAACCCATTCTCACCACCCCAGCCTCGAAGAACTGTTCCTTGAACATTTTCATTTCCCCTAGACGGCGATGCATTTCTTTTGGAGATCTGCTTCAGTGCACCGTTCACGATGTTCCTGGGCATGGCAGTGTTCATCCTTGGTTCATTTTCGTCCAAATATATATTACCCTTTGTTCTGTTCGGAAAGACGTGTACTTGTTTATCTGGAAAACACCTGAAGACCGAACACAAATTCGGTGTTAAAATTGTGATAAATCTGGGAAATATCCACTTGCTGTGAAAAGCTCCACACACCAGATTCTCGATGTTGGAGATCAGACGCACCCTTGCAATCAGACTCAGTGTTTCAGCGTCGTTCTTGATGGCCTGCGTATCGCTTACGGCCAGTCCGCTCAACAAGTTCAGCAAAATAACACCTATCAGCAATATGAAGAGTACTAAGATCACGTGGCTTGTCACTGGAAGCAAATCAAATTCCATGGCGGACGCTTCGTATTCACCGTTCAGCATCAGCATTGATTTCATGATTGTCATCCAAACATTCTGATAGAAAAGTTGGGCGCACGATCTGCGCAACATTGTGTACACGCAGAGGCTGAACGCAATGATCAGAGGCGAGTAAAACGACATGAACTTGACGAACGTGAGGGACACGGTCTGCAGCATCTGCATCAGGACGGAGCAGTCGGGAATGCAACCGATCCGTAAGAGGAACTCAAACCAGGAGAGCAGAACCGCGATTGAGGCACAGTGATGTTTCACCACTCTGTCAAACTGCCTCACGCACAGTACGACGGTCAGAATGATAATAGCGACGCGTAACAGGGTACTGGTTCTCCGCAGGTATTGCTTTGTGACAGACAGAAATTGCATGAGCTCTCGCAGTGCAAAAATGGTAACCAAAACCGTAAGTCCCAATCTGATCCCCAGTTCCAAAGTTGTTTCCTCAACATTCTTTGACTGTGTTCCAGTTCCGGGCTGAGGCCGAAGACGTGCTCCTGTTTTGTCTGCAGATTCCGTTCCCACTGAGTTGTCGGTGGAGTTATCAATCGCTGATGCGTTGCTTGGCGTTGTATCATTTTCTTCGCCATTTATACCAGGATAGACAGTGGCATTCTCGAAGATTCCTATTTCTGTTGCTGGATTCCAATTTACTTGATCATTTTCTAGTTCGTTCGGTCTTGTTTTGTTAACGCACTCTGAAACACTGGTACAGATCTCTGTACAAGGGATCACATTGCTCCGAGAGAGATTATACGTAACATCTGCCGTCTGATTGTCTTTACATGTACTCTCTTTATTATCGCAGCTTATTCGTTCAGAGTAGTCAGTTAAAATTACGTGCGTCGTTAGGAAACACAGGAAAATAATGTAGAACAAAAGATTTATGTAGAAGAATGAACGTGCATAATTCCACTTGAGGTACAGAAAGCTGGTAATCACAGGATGCTTCAACATGTGGCGTAACCGTTTATCTTGGCTCATATACAACAGTAAAGGCATCTCAACGTCCTGTTTCTTGTCCCTACAATTGTTTTTCGGTGCCAGAAAATTGTAATTAAAAGTCAGTCTGAAGTCCTGGTGCTGCGGGGTTTTGTCATTTGTCTCCAAACACTCGTCAAAGAATCTTCTCAGTGTGACCCTATCGATCTGTGACAACGGTGGGTTTCTAAACTTCGTAAACATCAAGTCGGCTCCGTGTTTCATTAGCACGACTACCGTGTCTTGATTCCCATCTCTGGCCGCAATGTGCAGTGCTGTTTCCCCAGAACCATCCATTACATTGATATCCGCACCGTTCCTCAACAAAATGTCCACCACATCGCTGCTTCCGTACCGCGCCGCCACGTGCAGAGCCGTGTTGCCCCATTCGTCCATCGCATCCAAATCGATCATCCTGCAGGTTGAAAAATCGCCCTCTAACATCAGCATCAAGGTCTGCTGAAGTCCCTGAACTTCCTCTTGATTCGGAACGTTGAGACGTGCAAGACAGTGTAGTACTGTCCTCTGGCAACAGTCTTTGATATTCAGATCCATACGCTCTGTATTCAACAGCACGTTCAATTGTTCCATATTACCTCTTTTGGCGGCCATATGGAGTAGCGGTACGTCTGAGACCGGATTCACTGTGTTCACATTGGCGCCAGCATCGACCAAGATCTGAACAAACCTATGTCTTCCCTCTAGAGTGCAGGCAAGTTCCAAACAAGTGCAATAGTATGGCTCATCGTACCAATATTCTATGTTCACTGAGGTCTTTTGCAAGATATCATGAAAAATATCCAGACAGCCATGCTGGATTGCCGCAAGTAGCCGAGTCTGAGGATTTGGCGAGTTTAGGTCTTCCAGTAAAGGTGGAGGCAGAATTGTCTTAAACTCTGGGAAAAGCGCGGAGATGGTTTCACGAACAGTTTTCATCTCATCAGCACCTGATGTATCCAGATTCAAACGATGTCTCCCATGATGCTGCAAGATGGTCCGAACTGTTTCTTTACTGCCGTTTTTTACGGCGTGGCTAAGAGCTGTGTGTCCATACATATCAGGTTTGTTCACTTTCAGGTCCGACTTCTCCATCAGTGATATTATACAATGCAGGTACCTTTTATCAACTCCATGTCGTTTACAGGATTCCTTTGTTAAAATATGCAAAGCCGTACTTCCATTTTTATCCATTGTATTAACATTGATCCTGCTGTGTGCCAGAAGAATCTTGAGGACCTCGTGATGACCTCCCATTGCTGCCAGATGTAAAGGTGTACATCCTATGTATCCGCCTCCAGCGTTGACATTCACCCTGAGATCAGCTATGAGCGTTCGGACAACGTGTAAATGTCCACATCTTACAGCCATGTGCAGACTCGCCCAGCCATCACCATCAACAGCATTGACGTCAGTCCTGGCACTCATTAGCAGAGCTTTGACGGTGTCATCGTTTCCTTCAGTTGCCGCTATATGCAGAGATGTGCATCCGAACGATGCCTCACTCCTTGTCTCAGCATCTGGCCACAGCAGAGGATCTTCAGCGAACACAGACAGGGGCACTGCCTCCGGTGTGCAGGGGCCATCCTTCCTTTTCCGCGATGAATTTGACAGGAGACTTATTCGTTTAACGCTACTGTCATCTTGTTCAGAATGAGGTGCGTCGTTTATGGATATTCTCACGTGTTTTGATGGGGGGACCATGATGAGTTTATCGTCTGGCAAAGAGAATACAACAGATACAAGCTGCCTAAAGACATCAAGTAAGATTTGTGTTAAGAAGCCTTTTTTTTTAAAATAACTACAGCACAAAAAGAGAAAATGCTTCGAAAGGAGCGCATTGCTCTAGTATTTAAATTGTTCAAATTTAACGAAGTATGAATTTAAATTAGAGAAAATTATGCACAGAAATGCATCACTGAATTGTGTATCCTAGCCTCAACATGTAGCACTGTATGAAAATATGGCGTCATATGCTCGCCATATCTTCTTTCGTGTAAAAACGCAACGTGGTTTAAGAAACCTGTCGTTCTGGTGCGGTCAGTATGGAAATGCGTCTATCAATGAAGTTTTAAGTATAGGCGAATGCAACTGTCTGCAATATTCGCTGTTTCCACCTTATGCACTTAACCGAAAGCAACAACTATTTCTAAATAGATACTTAAGGGGTTTTTAAGCCTGGCACTCCCACATAAAAACCCATTTTGGCAGCGACAGTGAATGCAGAGGTTAAAATTCCGGTCACACCAGTTCTGAACCCCATACAATACAACTGGTGTCCCATACAGGATGTATCCTGTGTCTCTCAAATATAAATAACACACGATATAATTATATACTTCGCCAATACATTCCTTCGAAATAACAGCACAAAAATTGTACAGCTTTAAGTTTAGAATTGGTAAACATTTTACCGTTAACAGTATTTACCGCCGAGTATAAATATGGAAACAGGATTCAAAAGGCGAGCCCTCAACATGGTGATGGACCTCACGATTTCAGAAGAGTCCTGACCAAACAGATTTAAACCGTTAGACATTTAGTTAGTGAGTTAACGTGGAAGATAACGTCACCTCTTAAAGCAAGCAATGTCATGGAAATTCTTACGGAGGGTGTAGGTAAACCTCCACCCATTCTTAACGTCACCACCTGACTGACGTTAATAGCCGGCTTCACGTTTAACTCGTTTTAACTTCGGGGCAAAATGTCAGTGAATTTACCGCTCAAGGTTAATAACACAAAGTGTACACTCAGATGATGCGTTCATTTCGAAATAACGTCAAAAATATCTGGGAGTTTCGCAATTTACTCATTTTGAAATGACGGCAAAAAAAAATATTTGCGACATGAATGAGTTTCGGGAGTTCCACGGAGGTAAGAGTTCAGATCGTGGTCTTCAGGGTTGTGATACAATATTGTATTTACACGTGGTTACCAACTTTTCGGAGGAACCTACTGCCCCCATGTTTAGATTATAGGGTGTACAAGACTACACGCTGTCACAACCCAAAAGTCCACAATCTGTAACCAAATTTAAAAAGCGGGTAACAATGTCCTGCTGGTACTCACCGTTATGAGAAATTTAACAGAAACGATTTCTTCGCAGACATATCCCAGTGCGAAAATTCACAGAACGTTACCTACTGCGATTATAATGAGCGGTGCTGGCTCATTCCCAGACGTTTCTACACGATTTAGTGCAACAGCAACAGAACAAGGATATAGCACGCCCGGAAGTTCGAACGCCACTTCCGCTCGCAATCGAGAAATTGTCGCATACAATTCTACGAGGTTGCCATATCCATTTACGATAAGTACACAGTACGAGTATCGATATATCGATTGTTTATTTTTATCAGCTAATTTATACATGTTATGAAAGCAGAATTATAAATATTAACCAATAATTCTGCAAGACTATGACTGTCACCGGGTACTACAAATTTGGGCGTCTAATGGTGCATCACACGAAAGAAAATCCAAGGGAATTTTTTTTTCGTATAACGAGAGTCGCTTGTAGGCTATTACAGTGCACATCGGTGCATCTGTAACACACAACAGACTTGTATTCAGGAGGCACCGGTTTGCATCCCGGCTATATTACTGTAGAGTCTGTCTTGACTGAGAAGTTTCGTTGTTTTCCTCAGTCTGCGTCGAATAGCGAATTAGCAGTTAGGTCAAGAACGCCTACTTCAATCTAACGACTCATCATATGTTACATATGTCGTGTAGCTGAAAGAACATTGTTAAATATTGCAAGGCTCAATCATGAAACTAAATCACTCGGTGAATAAAATGGCTTCACTCTTGAAATGAATTGAACTGCAGTGCAGCGGCATTTTGGAGCGGGATGTGTCCTGTTTGTACCTAATAAAGTACACACTAATTGATGATTTGCGTTGATTCTTAGAGCTGCTCTGTCACGTCCCCTCTTATACTAATAAAACACAGCAAATAATGAATAATCATGAGATGACGTCGATATCATCCGTGCCCAATAACGAAAGTTAAGCAACACTTGGCCTGGTCAGACCTTGATGGATAACCGGCAGGATAAACCACGTGACGTTTTTATTTATACTTTAATTAACAACGGTTAACGATGATCAATTAATAATGGATTGGAAAGGATGCTGAACACAATTCGAGGTGTTGGCAGTACTGAGGAAGACCACGAAAAACTGTCACAGTAACCCGTGTCTGGGCTGAGATTCAAACTCGGGACCTTCCGAATAAGTAGCATGACTGTTAAACACGATATTTGATCGCCTTTGATATTCTTAAACGAGGCTCTTCTCCCAGTAGAACAATTGGCTAGAGGATGGAGAAATGGAGATAAATTCTGGGCAGGGGAATAAACTTTCATCTTTGGTTCAAGATTCATACTGGCTCAGGTCTAACCAGTTTCCAGTACGAGGCTCTCTCACTGAGCATAAAGCAACTGGAGAATGAAGCTTCGTCTCCAAGGCATGTTACTCGGAAAGTCTTCAGATTCCGACTGATGAATGTACACAGAACATTCACTAGAATCTTATATGTCAAGATAATTTGATTTGAGGCGTTATCAGTTCAAAATAACCAATACTTTACGCTAGATTAAAATAAAATGTTAAACAATTTTCATAGAAAAACCTCACTGTACAAAGAATCTACAACTTTCACATCTGAAAAGTAGAAGTAAGAAAATACATTTCTCTAATCTTACTTATTTCTTGTGAAAACAGTTTCGTACATTCCTCCGAATTCTGACCATTCATACATCACTGAGGAGCGCTGTTCCCCCTTTCCATACCACACGAGATACCTCCGTCATGAACTGGCCAAAGTAGACGTAGTGCAAGGAAAATCTTTCAGCGTTTCAGCTTTCGAGCAACAGAAATTTTATGTCACCACCGAAGGCCTTCAAATAAAGACCAGCATGAAAATGGCAAAACTAACCAACAAACAGGATCACAGTTGCCAGATTTGACGAGCGAAAGTAAAAGCGCCTATGAAATGATTCAACAGAGACCTCACTTGCTGAAAAACAAAATTAACCAAATTGCATTACCCAACTGACCTCTCCATTCTGGAAAGAAAAGGCAATTCGTTTTCGATAAACGCCTCATCTTGTGTTGACGTAAACACATTCCAGATCTGCTATCCTTTACTGCACTCGATACAGTAAAGTGTCGTAATCTCAGATAGCGTCCACCGTCGCTAATGAGGTCAATGTCACAAATTAAATTAAGTGACCTTGCAGACCAAGGAAGAATGGTAGAGGAAAGGATTAATAAAATTTAATGACCAACTTTTGTCATAGCGATCATCTGGCTCTATTCGCAGGCACACAAATGTTAACGCCAGTCTACATTATGTATACGTACCAGGAACTGGACGTAGGCTTGAGGATGCTGATCACCGACTTACAGCATTATTCAAAATGCTGTAATCACCAAAATTCGTCCACGTGTGGTCCCAGAAGCGTGGATCAGCGCGTGGATCCCACGCGAGGTTACTTGGAGGGACAACTGTAGCGTTGATCTCGTTTATTGACATTTCCAGGAGCTGGAGGATTTCTGGATACCTGAACGGAATGTAATAGGGATCGGTTAGAAAGCATCTGTGCGCAGAAAGTAATTAAACCCATATTAGAGTAATAGGGATCGGTTAGAAAGCATCTGCGCGCAGAAAGTAATTAAATCCATATTAGAAATTGAGGAATTTTTCACTGAGGCGAAGCAGCTGAGATACGACGACGACCACTCAGTTTCGCCATAATTAACAGGTGCCACATCTAAATAAGAGCTCAGAAACATCTCCTTACAAAAATGAAGGACACAGAGTCACCGTTCCTTTAACAAAATAATTACACCGCAAACGGTCTTCCTTGGAAAGTCAACAGCTGTTCAACTGGCACGGAAATTCCCTGCAATCCTGAAATAAAATCATCATTACTATGTTCACAAAAACCCACCATCAGAAAGCATCTTTTAGTCAGGGGTAGGTTACATTAGCTTATAAAATAGCACCTTGTCTTAAAATTTTCAAACCAAAATTATGTATGCATTACTTATTTCCCAACTGATGCTAAATTTCTCAACTTTATTATCCTCGCCGAAGCTCCTCACTGTGTAATTTTCTCCATCATCTCTGTTGTTGAAATACTGTCCCCAACACCCGGCACCCTCAATGCACGTTCTTCCCGTAGGGTCAGATAGCCTTGTTTCAGAACCGTAAAAAAGAACACGTCCCTTTGGAAATATAATTATAATGAAAGAAGAAATGTTTATAAAGAATCTTTAGTAACAATATTTCAATACAATGTTAATCAGCATCAATAACCCAAGTACGTGATGTCAGAGGGACTGAACCAGTAAGAGTGAACACTCGCACAGATAAAACATGGCCACACAAGTCCTTGATCAGCAACTGATCTATTAGTGAAGATGCTTTATATGTTACGGGTTTTTGTAAGAAATATATTACGCTGTGACAAAAGGGATATTTCACAAAAAATTAATAAATACACGAAAACAATGGGTATTATCAATAATGTCTTCGAGCCCTCACATGTCCAGAAACATACCCGCTTACGCCTCTACGACATTCTCGAGAGACCTGTCCTCTCATATGGAAGCGAAGCTTGGACTTTAAAAGAAAACAGGATATCAGCAGAATAACGGCTTGCGAAACGAGATTCGTGAGAAGAACTGCGGGATGCATCAAACTTGACCACGTGAGAAATGAGGACATTATGACAGAACTTCAGATGGAACCTGTAATGAACTACATTTGGCGATATCAACAAAATTGGACAAATCATGTGAATAGAATGACCAAAAGGAGATTCCCAAAGGCAATTTTGAAATACCACCCTGCTGGGAAAAGAACTCTCGGCCAACCTCAGAAGAGATGGATGGAAAATACAAGACTGTAACAGGCCTCGTGGCCTAATACGGGAAAGGATGATGATGATGATGATATTATGCTGCTGACTGACTAAGAACCGCTTTACTTACACGTCAGCCAGATTAGTCTGTTCACATGGATCATTCCTGATGTTAAAGAGGCATGGCGCTGTCAGGGGCTTGCATCCATTTCTTCCTGCATGCGTGTACAGAGACGCAGAATCACAGATCACTTCAGCCTGATTTCGCAGGGTTTGAATGATGGATGGCGTAAGCGTTGTCCCAGCCCTGGCCAGAGCTCGACCAGCTTGACTGGTCATCACCTGGTACGGTTCATATACCAGTGACTCTCCTCGGCCTGATGGACCGTACCATCCATCCCACGCTCCACTGTATGTTGACCCTGTCATCATACACAAACATAATTAAAAATCTCTTATGAAACTTGTTAAAACATGAATTTATTTGTTATTACATGGATTTTTGTCATTAGATTTTGTAACCAGCATATGTTGTTTCTGATGGTAAAAAATTATCAGATTCTAAAAAAGAAAATTAGTTGTATGTTGCTCTGATATTTAAAATTTGCATGTTTTGTTAGAAGATTTAAAATCATCCTTTGTTATATCTACATACTAGTAATAATATTCTAGAAAAAGAGCAACATAGAAAACATGTAACAGATAACTTCACAAGCGTTCACTGTGTTTACATCAAACACTTTCATAATATGTCGCACACCTTTAACAATCTTCCAGTCTCCCATTGTGAGTGCTGCATTGCCATAAATGTCATCAATATTGTGCAACACTGAAGTTCTATTTGAAGGCAAGTCTTCTGACAGAGCTCTCCACGCATTTATGCCATCTATTTCTCCAAGGTATCTGAAAAAGTAGATATAAAATAATAAGGTGTTACTCCCTCTATGATGGATCATTTTATGACAAAGCCCAGCCAATCTTCTGTATCCTATCAAAGTATGTGTCTGCTAAATCACTGTTCTCTCTTATATAACTGCCCCATTCCATCTCTCTCTGTCACGGTTTACCATGGGACATCAACTTGCTAGAAGCCGACGTATATGAATGACTCTTATGCCACTTTGAATACAGTGACAAAGGGAAAAGTTCAAAATACCGCTGCTGATGGTTCGACGTGACTGGGGCATTTGCCTGGTATCTGCGACAGTACGTTATACTAGTGCCCTTTCTCATAAACTGATAATGTTAACACATGGCGGTATGCGATTTACCCAACATCTCCGCCAGCAGCAGCGTACAGTGTGGGCAGCCAGTCTGTGATATGAAACAGCTGGGTGGAGACCCGTCCAGGGCGAGCTATCAGAGGGCTCCACAGCAGTCCAGCGCCTCGTACACCTCCTTCCCACAAGGTGTTTTTTACCTGGCAGCACACAGACATAAATGCTTCATGCCTCGTCTCATATTTGCTACTCATGTAACAGCAATCATCAGCTTGAATTTGGAAGGCCCCACGTTAATATTAGTTTTACTGCCTGGCTTTCTTTTAAAAATAATTAATGAGACAAATGATGTAAATACAGAAAGATTTAAAAAAAACTGAAAGATTAGTCATCGTCTCTTTCTGGAAATTATCGTAATGAGAAAATGCACAGAACTTAAATGAATTAGCCACCAAGATTCAAACCAGGTACCTCCAAGATACAAATACAGACCTCTGTTTGTCTACCACCAAGATTCAAACCAGGTACCTCCAAAATACTAATACAGACCTCTGTTTGTCTAAAAAGTTAAAGATCCCAAACAGATACCCTACAGCCTCACGATACACATTTTATGCATGATGTAATTTTAATATTATCATTTCTTGCAATAAGAGCTGTGCCAGTGATTTTCTATGGGCTGAATAATTCTTGGAAGGGGAAGGAAGTTTTATTTTTGCCACAGACTTGAGACTACTTCTAAGGGCTATTCATCCTCCTCTTCAATCGGTACTGACGGCTGTTTCAACAGAATAAAGCAGAGCAGGGACAAATTTGTTTTAATTCTTGCAGGAACTTACACCACGCAGTGGCCAGTTTGATGCTGCATTAATGTTGAACCCAGCTGCTGGTCCACCATTGTCAGTTGTGAAGACTATAACGCAGTTTTGTAACATGCCAGCTTCGTGCAGAGCGCCCATTACTTTTCCCACGGATTCATCGAGCTTGTGTAACACACCTGCAAGCCAAGTGAGAGCAGAAAGTGGGTTCCATGCACAGACTAAATTATTTGGTATGTACGCTTGCATTATAGGTTAGAATAAATTAAACATGATTTCATCCCCTTAAGAATTACACTGTAATTAAAGTTTTGTGACAATTTAACTTGTAACAGTGCAAACTAAGAATGTACATTTCTCTTTCTTTTCACAACCATGATGGCATGGAAGAAATTAATGTTCTGAAGAAAATAAGTTAATGTACAGTTTTTAAAGACAAATGGCAACAATAACAGATTAATGATATATTATCTAAAAACCTAGAGACTAACACATAGAAAACTAGAACTTTACCTGCTATTTCACATGGATATAAAATCTTGTCTCTCACTCTAAGAAAATACCAGAGATTGAGGTTAGATTTGACATTTTCGTGGCAGTGATTCTGAAGATGGCTGTCTTCTGGGTTGTAAAACTGTGTAATCAGGTAGATTTTTATGAATGTCTCAGAGGAAGCAAGAAATTCTGAAACATTGATAAACTTCTACCAGACTACACAGTGTTACAACCCAGAAAACAGCCATCTTCAGAGATTAAAGTTGTTTGAGACCAAAGTTTAGGAAAAAATTGATAAACTAGAAGGTCAGGAAGTAACATAAGGCTGGAGAACATTGCATAGTCCCAGGGTTAACGTAGTTTTTTTTCACGTTAATAATACCTGCAAATCTTCGTCGATTATAGTCTGTAATTGCACTGAACTTTGCCACAACTTCATCGGGTGCAGGTAGTGGGTTGTACGGGTTCCCCGAATGCACTGCCGCATGAGCCAGGTACAGGAAAAGAGGTTTTGATGTATTGTGTGTTCTGATTAGCCTCACAGCTTCCTTAGTGAAGATGTCGGTTGAGTACTGTCCATGCAGATCCCACGCAGGCTCCAATCCTCGCCTCATATCCAGACCCCAGTAAGGCTGAAAGAAAAATTGATGCTGTAGATACCATCTACACTTATGTCTCCCAAGCAGTCTCTTTACTTTCAGCATTGTAACTAAAATTTTGTATAGGTTTCTCATATCCATATTGAAGTTACATGTCCCAGCCATTTTATCTCCCTTGATTTAATTATCCTAACAATATTAAGTGAACTGTAAAATTTATGAAACAAAAGAAGTAATTTAAAATAAGTATTTCTACTTCGAAGATATCGAGATAAAAGGGAGTGCGATGTTAATGGGATGAAACTGGCATAAGTCAGGCTGTTTTACAAACAACCTATGAATAACCATGGGTAAGATCATGTTATGAATTAAACAGGGGATTTATTGCTGGCCAGACATCAACTTTGGCGTTAATGGTTTAATGGTTTGCTAATGTGACACATTGACAGTTGGACCACATTAAGCAGGCACATATGGCTGATAAAGGTTGAGGTAATGCAACA